GTGCTCTAAAGTATAAGCCAAAAGTCAAAACCCTTTCTTCCGTAGTAAAAGTTCAAGTTCTAATAAGGCGAGTAACCGAAGTTGGAAGCGATTCAAAGGGAGTACTTTGTCAAGAATAACCGCGCTGTTTTACCTGTCTATCTCCTACTTCCAGAAACCCCCGAAAAACGAACTGAAGAGGATTCATTTTCACATGTATTAACAATTAACCATCTAAGCAAGCCGTAGAGGGACTGGCTGTTCTATTGGCAAATTTTAATTAACATCTGGATGCAGAAGTTTTTCTCAGTTACCGTCACAGCAGTCCTGCCAGAGGGTAGTCAGAAAATCTCGGCACCTTATGATCTCGGACACAACTTGAATAATCCTGCTAGTGAGTTACCGGATCCCTAGAGAAAGCCGGAAATCGCTTAATGAATTTAGCACAGTCGAATTTAAATGGTTTTTAAGCTAGCCTTTCTTATCTGAAAGCTCTCGGAGAAAACTCGTATTTGGTAGAAATGTTACCTTCCAGCAAAACTCGTATTTTCGCTTTCATTTATCTCATATATAGATTTTTGTTTCCCAGTGAAGTTTAGCTTTTCCCACTTAGATTCGCGTCTTTACAACTAGTTTTAATCCCAGATGAGGGAGAAAAGGAACTCCAGTTGACTGTTTTTTAATAATTTTTGGCAGTCCCAAGCAATCTGCCCCGTTAAAGTAAACCAAGTTAATTGAAGTGTACTGAAAGGACCAGTCATGTGGGAGAATTCCTGTAAAATCACTAAAATGGAATAACGATGCTAAGAGCACCAAGATGTTCTTAGTATCCTTGGTGTATATTTGTATGAATTTTTCTTAATTAAGGACAAAAAACAAACCTCAAACTTCGGATAGATGTTCGGCGTATTCATGAAATATGACGCCACGCTATTGCTCTTGTGCGAAACGGTCATTTTTTCCGAACGAGCCAGCTCCAGTTCCGATTTTTCTAGAACATGAATTTTTATTATCCCGCCAGATCCGAGTTACGCTGAGGCTCCTTAGTACGCTTACTCTATGTTACTGTAATTTGCTGCATGAGTCGTTAGTCTTTCTGATTACGTTGAGCGGATGAAGGAACGGATCGTCGTGAGACCAAGAAAAGAGGAAATGAAATAGATTGTGAAACGCATATGTGTATTATAAAAAGTTAAGAAGATGTAAGGAGGACATGTAGGGAAGCTAAATGTGAAACTGGCTGTCTGCGTTTCATCCCTAAGCTGCAAACACAAACAGTATGCGTGTATAGTACCAATATGGATTTTTATTGCCATTCTTTGCCAGTCAGAAGAATTTAGGATTTTGGGAACACTACACCATTTTTAAATTAAAAAACGCATTTTTAAACGGATTTCTTAATTTTCTAGGTCTTTTTCAGCCAGCTTGATACCTGGCTTTAGCATTCTTGGGCTTAACTTGACTCAAATTAGCATGCTTAGGAAGAATTGGGTCGCTTTTTTCTTCGTTATCAGCTGCATTATTTTAGCGACTACCTATATCGTTCGTCAAAAAATCGTTAAAAAAAATCAAAGTCCATTGGGTACTTGTAGGAAGAAAAGGCATTCGGAAGTATTGTAGAAGTAGCAAATACCATCAGCAACCACCCGAAGGTAAAACTACCGTCGATGGTTTCTTTATTTAAAGTAAATGTGGGACATGCCCGATGAGGTTCTGATCTTGGCGTGATCTAGTGGAGCACACAAGTTGA